TCTTGCAAATCATCAGCCCAACTAGCAGTTGAATGTACACACTCAAAGCAACTGTTGGCTGGACTTTTAATGCCTTTTTTTCTGCCTCTGCCTTTACCTTCCATTGTGCTTCAGTTTAGAGAGCATGAAGAAAGTACCAGCCAGGGGTGGATTGACCATTTGGAAACTCAGGCACTGCCTGAGGGCCCGGAGTCAGTAGGGGCCCCATGAGATACCCCTGGTACCTTTTTCATAGGATTTTTTGAGTTTGGGCAAGGACACAGGGGCCGCATGATCCCCTATTGCCCGGGGGCCCCATGAGTTGTCAGTCCGCCCCTGGTACCAACCCACTCTGGACACTGTCCTCTTCTCTGCTTTACTTAGATCAACCTAGGGGTGGACTGACAACTCATGGGGCCCCCAGGCAATAGGGGATCATGGGACCCATGTGTCCTCGCTCACACTCAAAGCACACCCAAAAAAGCCTATAAAAGGTACCAGGGGCATTTCATGGGTTCCCCTACTGACCCCGGGCCCTTGAGCATTGCCTGAGTACCCGAATGGTCAGTCCACCCCTGGATCAACCCCCTCAAGGCTAAAATCTACAAAATGATCGGAGACTTTATCACTGAAAGTCTTATTCGAGGGAGAAGCATACTTTACAAATTCTGTAGCAAGAGGCTCCTACTCATTATTTCTGGCCCGGGTTGGGATTGTCCTTGCTGCCTCCTGGTCACCAGATACCTCTGCAGACTTGTTTTTCTCCTAAACAGCTTACGCAGCATTTTTACTTGGCGCAGCCACAGAACACACCAGGTCTGCTTCAGTTGAACTTTAGAGCAAATCCTGGCATGAGCCCCCAATTGTTTTGCTTTGTCCTTAAGGTTACTTTGCGGTAAAAGCCAAGGAAACGGAGACCTCTGTAGGGTATTAAAATTTGCTTTACTAAACAGGAAAATATCTGAATGTCCAACCTCAGGATACACAAATCATAGCAAAAGGTGCCTACAACATGCCCAAGCTGACTATCCATGCGATAGGCGTACACTAACATAGTTCCACTCAAAAGGGGTAGTTCCGCTTTAACCTCCCTGGCAGTATTCCCGAGTGTAGCTCGGGGTAGAGTTTCAGTACCAAAAGCGGTAACCCCGAGCTACACTCGGGCTTACCATCCAGCATTGCATAGGGAGTCCCTGCAGCGCTTACCTTGTCCTTCGCTCCCGCGATGCGTCCCCTGCAGCGTCCCGGCCATCTCCTCCGACCGATGCCGGCATCCAGCTTCCGTAATCCGGTCCCTGTGACGTCGGGGACGTACGGACGCCAGAACCGGCGGCAAATTTGAAATTTTTAAAAAAATGTCATTTTTTTAAAAATTAGTATTACACAGTAAAACATTGCTGTTTCAAACCATTTCACATACATTTTGTCCCGAGTGCTTTGTCCGGCGCCCTGCCTGCATTCTTACTGTTCTTTCTGCCTGGAAACTGAGAAACGTCCATGGCGTCCAAAAAGCGTCCTTTTATGTCAAAAGCGGTTTTAGACCGGCTAGAGAACAGCGATAGTAAATCAGAACCACTTGCAGAATTGAGTGATAATGATTCGTGGGGGAAATTCCTCATCAGACACTGAAAGCGATTCTGCGACTTTGCTCAGCGATGTGCGAACTTGGCGCTCTATTTCACATTTCAGTGTTTTTGGTTTGATTATATTATTGAATTGAATTTATTATTATTATATTATTATTTTTTATGATTATTTATTAAATTATAATTTATGATTTTGTGTTTGAAGTTTTATCCTACCCGGGGATGTTTACTAGACTCTTGTTCGGACAGATTTCAGGGAGTTATTCCTAAATTACAGGCCTACAATAAAAAAAAATACATATTTCCATGCAAAAAAATGGTACCGCTTTCAGCACCAAATATCTGAAATAATCATACCGCTAGGGAGGTTAAGGACTGCTCCCCCACTCCCCATTAAGGATTGGCACCTTTGGGGGGCGCAGGGGGGGGAGCGGGTACCCGAATTTGACAGGTAGCCGCTCCCACTTCCGGTCCAATCGCTTATGCTGGGGTGGACAACTGTGGCCCTCCAGCTGTTGTAGAACTACAAGTCCCATGAGGCATTGCAAAACTGACAGTTACAAGCATGACTCCCAAAGGCAGAGGCATGATGGGACTTGTAGTTCACCAACAGCTGGAGGGCCACAGTTGCCCACCCCTGGCCTATGCGGTCAGAAGCGGAAGGTGTCCTCCCTCCCTCCCTGTAGTCTTTTGGGACACGTGACTGTCCCCAGAAGACTACGGGACCATTCATGTAGAGCAGCACTACTCGCGCATGCGCAGTGGGTACCCGGATGTGAAGCCGCAAGCTGTCATAGCCAGGTGCCCACACTGAAGGTGTCGGCCTCCTGGAATACAGGGCGGTCGGTGAAACGGGCTGCAGGGGACACACCACAGGACCAAGGGACAGGTAAGTGGCTGTTTTTTACAAGTCCACTTTAACTTGGGCTTTCCATTGATGTAATCTTCTTCATGGTTTCTTCAGAGTCCAACGGATTCCAAAACATATGAAAAATATTTTTAAAAATATATTTTTTTTAAATATACTCTTCAGATTTTTTGTAACATACAAAAAAGTCATTTTAACATATTTTTACATATATTTGTAAATGCATTCCAAAAATGTAGATTAAATGTATTTTTAAAGACATACCGTATATTTGAAAATGGACTGGTCATACATTATACAATTTTCTTGAGAATTTTGCTTTAGATTTACCAAAAACCATATAATAGGAGGTCAAACCTAAACATTTTCAATAGTATTCAATTAGGCGGGCCCTCACACTACATAGTTGAAGGTAAATCTAAAGGAAATTGGGCAGAAATTGGACAGAAAATTGAATAGTGTATGGACAGCCTAAATCTCTTGAAGGCTTTTCTTGAAAAATGAGCTAGATGTGCAACAAATAAATAAGCACCTATGCAGGCCATACATGGTTCGAATTCCGAACGATTTTGTATGAAAATCGGACCTAAGAATAATTGGCCGATTTTTTAATTTTTTTTGGGGGCAATGGCACCGTTTGATTTTTGCGGTTCCTCCGCATTTCGTTTATTGAGCATGCTGGAAAATTTGTGAAAAACGACCGATTTTCGAAATCATTGGTGGCACCATCGGATTACAGAACGAACGGCGTTTTAGTTTTTCGAACAAAAAATCATTCGGATTTCGAACCATGTATGGTCTGCATTAGTCATGTGTTGTTACCTGGATCTGCTGAGCATTTTTTGGGTTATTTACTAGAGAAGTGGAATCAAGCGTGGACCAGGGGCGGACTGACAACTCATGGGGCTCCTGGGCAATAGGGGATCATGGGGCCCCTGTGTCCTTGCCCAAACTCAAAAATTGGGCAGAAATTGGACGGAAATTTGTAAGAAAATTGTATAGTGCATGGCCAGCCTTATGCAGGCCATAGAATGTTTGAAAATTGGTTGATTTTTCGGCCGAAAAAAAAATCGGCTGTTTTTCGCACCGTTATTGGGTTAATTGGTTGGACATTTTTCGGGGTTTTTTGCACATATTTTTTATCGGTAAAGTTGGAAAATTTGCGGCCGAGCTTGACGATCGGCAATTTTCCCGGCAATGATGGGCAAATCAGCCGATCGTTTTACCGATAAAAAAATATGCGCATGAGCCGTGACCTGCAAGAAGAAGAAAAGAAGAAGAAGAAGAAAAGGAAGAAGAAGAAGGAGAAGAGAAATAGAAGAAGAAGAAGGAGAAAAGGAAGGAGAGAAGAAGGAGAAGAAGAAATAGAAGAAGAAGAAGAAGAAGGAAAAGAAGAATTCCAGTCCGCTATTATATTTTATATGAAAAGTCTTGCAGTTGCAACAAATGTATCCATTTGTATCCGAATAAAAACAACTGTATCTGAAATGGATACATTGTTGCTAGAGATGAGCGAATCGAACTTGGCGAAGTGGAATTCGTTTCGAATATTAGGAAAAATTCGATTCGCACAGAATCCGAATATTAGCAAACTTCGGATGCACGAATCGAATTTTTCCCGATCGGCCGATTTTCATCCCTTCTACAGCCGGCAAAAAGTGTCCCTGCAGAGAGCTCCGCTATTTCTGACAGTTCTCTGACAGTTCCTTCACATGTACAGCGGTTGAAACATTGTATCTATTTGTTTCCATTTAGGATACAGATGTTTTTATTCGGAAACAAATAGATACAATGTTTCAACCGCTGTAAATGTGAAGGAACTGTCAGAGAACTGTCAGAAATAGCGGAGCTCTCTGCAGATACACTTTTTGCTGTACTGGAATTCTTCTTCTTTTCATTCTTCTTCTTCTTTTCATTCTTCTTCTTCTTCTTCTTTTCATTCTTCTTCTTCTTTTCATTCTTCTTCTTCTTCTTTTCATTCTTCTTCTTCTTTTCATCTTCTTCTTTTCATTCTTCTTCTTCTTCTTTTCATTCTTCTTTTCATTCTTCTTCTTCTTCTTTTCATTCTTCTTTTCATTCTTCTCATTCTTCTTTTCATCTTTTCATTCTTCTTCTCATTCTTCTTTTCATTTTTCTTCTTTTCATTCTTCTTCTTCTTCTTTTCATTCTTCTTCTTCTTCTTCTTCTTCTTTTCATTCTTCTTCTTCTTCTTTTCATTCTTCTTTTCATTCTTCTTCTCATTCTTCTTTTCATTCTTCTTCTTTTCATTCTTCTTCTTCTTCTTTTCATTCTTCTTTTCATTCTTCTTCTTCTTCTTTTCATTCTTCTTTTCATTCTTCTCATTCTTCTTTTCATTCTTCTTTTCATTCTTCTTCTCATTCTTCTTTTCATTCTTCTTCTTTTCATTCTTCTTCTTCTACTTTTCATTCTTCTTCTTCTTTTCATTCTTCTTCTTCTTCTTTTCATTCTTCTTCTTCTTCTTTTCATTCTTCTCATTGTTCTTTTCATTCTTCTTTTCATTCTTCTTCTCATTCTTCTTTTCATTCTTCTTCTTCTTCTTCTTTTCATTCTTCTTTTCATTCTTCTTTTCATTCTTCTTCTTCTTCTTTTCATTCTTCTTTTCATTCTTCTCATTCTTCTTTTCATTCTTCTTCTCATTCTTCTTTTCATTCTTCTTCTTCTTCTTCTTTTCATTCTTCTTTTCATTCTTCTCATTCTTCTTTTCATTCTTCTTTTCATTCTTCTTCTTTTCATTCTTCTTCTTCTTTTCATTCTTCTTCTTTTCATTCTTATTTTCATTCTTCTTCTTCTTCTTTTCATTCTTCTTTTCATTCTTCTTCTTCTTCTTTTCATTCTTCTTCTTCTTCTTTTCATTCTTCTTCTTTTCATTCTTCTTCTTCTTCTTCTTCGTCGTGCCCCGTGACTGCCCAAATGAGTGAAGTGTGCGGTGATTCTAAGATCGACGGCACTCATCTGCATGTCATACTGACTGACAGTATTATTTCTCTTCCCCAGCAGACTCCAAGGGCATTTAAATTAAAGGTACAGTGTTCTGCACTAATATAAAGGCTCTCTGAAGCCTAGAAACCCTTTTAATAAGTTAAATTCGCAGCGAATAAATTTGCATCGAATCGAATTTCTACCGCAAATTCGGCGAATCAGCCGAATCGAATTTTTGAATAATTCGCTCATCTCTAATTGTTGCAACCGCAAGACTTTTTTCATACAAAATATAATAGTGGAGCTCTCTGCAGGGACAGAAGTAATATTCTTCTTATGTATTGCTGTCACTTTGTATGGTGCGCTCCCCTGTCTCTGCAAGGGACAGAAGTTATGGGGTTAATGCCGGCCATAGACGGGACGAAAATCGGCCGATTTTTGAACCGTTGGTGGTAACGTCGGCCGATCAAACGACTGATTTTTTGTTTTTTTTTATAAAAAAAGACCGGTTTTCGACCCGTCTATGTCCTGCATTAGTCATAATTGGAATTGGAATTGGAATTCACAACCACTAGCACAGCCAATTCACTGAGCCAGCTAAGCAGCTTTTCAGAGGCAGACCTCAGTTCTTCTTTCAGTTTCATTTCAGTGATCCCAGCCATGTGACCATCACGTAGTAATGTTTTCTCCTCCTTTAAACTTCTTCCGCAGAAATATGGAGGACGGGCTGGAACACACCGAGGTAAGATCAGGCTGGTCGGTCTCCTATTGTTCTGTTTGTGAAACTATACAGTGAGTACGGTGCAGGGGGCTCTGTATATGATGAAGATCCTGTTACCTCCTCCTCCTGCTGTGTGACATTGAGGTCGATTTACTAAAAGAGTAGAACATGTTCTCTTGGCAATGTGATTGTTCACTCAATGATTGAGGTGTCACTAAAGGAAAACCGCAATTCACAATAACCAATCACATGCAAGAAAAATTCAAACAGGACGTTTCTACATGCGAATGGATGGTTCAAGCAGGGCGGACTGACCATTTGGAAACTCGGGCACTGCCCGAGGGCCCGGGGTCAGTAGGGGGCCCCATGAGATGCCTCTGGTACCTTTTTCATAGGCTTTTTTGAGTTTGGGCAAGGACACAGGGGCCCCATGATCCCCTATTGCCCGGGGGCCCCATGAGTTGTCAGTCCGCCCCTGGGTTCAAGTCAACATGACTAGATCTCATACACTTCCGCTCAGGGGCAGACTGACAACTCATGGGGCCCCCGGGCAATAGGGGATCATGGGGCCCCTGTGTGCTCCCCCACACTCAAACCACACCCAAAAAAGCCTATGAAAAAGGTACCAGGGGCATCTCATGGGGTCCCGTACTGACCCTGGGCCCTCGGGCAGTGCTTAAGTGCCCAAATGGTCAGTTCACCCCAGGGGCGGACTGACTATTTGGAAACTCAGGCACTGCCCGAGGGCCCGGGGTCAGTAGGGGGCCCCATGAGATGCCCCTGGTACTTTTTTCATAGGATTTTTTGAGTTTGGGCAAGGACACAGGGGCCCCATGATCCCCTATTGCCCAGGAGCCCCATGAGTTGTCAGTCCGCCCCTGGTCCACGCTTGATTCCACTTCTCTAGTAAATAACCCAAAAAGTGCTCAGCAGATCCAGGTAACAACACATGACTAATGCAGACCATACATGGTTCAAATTCCGAACGATTTTTCGTTCGAAAAACTAAAACGCCGTTCGTTCTGTAATCCGATGGTGCCACCAATGATTTCGAAAATCGGTCGTTTTTCACAAATTTTCCAGCATGCTCAATAAACGAAATGCGGAGGAACCGCAAAAATCAAACGGTGCCATTGCCCCAACAAAAAATTTAAAAATCAGCCGATTATTCTTAGGTCCGATTTTCGTACAAAAATCGTTCGAAATTCGAACCATGTATGGCCTGCATAGGTGCTTATTTATTTGTTGCACATCTAGCTCATTTTTCAAGAAAAGCCTTCAAGAGATTTAGGCTGTCCATACACTATTCAATTTTCTGTCCAATTTCTGCCCAATTTCCTTTAGA